TCACGTCTGGGCTTTGTTCTGGTTTACCTTTCCACACTAGTGTCAGTAGAGGGGCATAAGTCATGCTGGAACAGAAAAACTTTTGCACCCTCAATCTATAACACAAGATAAACTATAAAATCGAATATCTTTTCGTTTCATTTCACTCCTGCTTTGTGTTTCTTTTAAAGGTAGGGTGGACAGTTTCTGCGCTTCTAGTGTCATCTAGCGGAACTACAAAAATAAAGCCAATTTCCAAACAAGCTTTTTGCAGGTCACAGCTCTTAGGGATATATAAAAGTGAAGGCCTGTCAACAGGTCAAAGTAGACTACTTTCAATAAAAGGTCCAACATATTAGGAACACCTTTTACTTGAAGTTTAACTCACCTGTCGAGAGGAAACTCCACAACTTAGTTGTCGAAACACATACATTTAATCAGATTTCTCCATCTTTTAAAAACAGTACCAATGTTTACCCTTGTTTTACCCCGTTGTCTGTCTCTCTGTATTTTGGCAAGTCTTCGCATTTTGGCTTGCACTTCTGTAACAAAATCTAAACTTCTTTTTCCACACCATTGGCTAAACCTCCTCTAAACATCATTCATTTATTTATTTTCTCTACTTTTCTGTCACTATCATTTTGTTGTGAATGACTGTGCAGGGTGCGGTGTCAAACTGAGTGTGGGTAATCAGGTTAGAAAAAGAGCATGTTCACTCTCCCCACTTACATTTCCTGCCAATACTGAGGACTGAACCTATGCCTTTTTGGTAAGTCTGTCTGTCTCTCTAACCATTACCCAAGAAAGACTGAGGAGGCACCTAACCTCAATGGCTCCCGGGCACTGAAGCAACTGGTTGCCCACTGCTGTGTGCCCACAGTGTGTGTGCACATGGATGGCATAAATGCAGAGCACAAATTCCCCATATGGGTTACCACACTTGGCCTACATGTCATGTTGTCACTTAAATAACTAAAGAAACAAAGAAAAAAAATAATGTCACACGGTACCAGAAACTGGTTAAGATTATGTTTGTTGAGTTAAAACTCACATGCTTATTTGCAATCCTGTAAAGATATTTTGCATCACATGTGGACCGAGTAGATTATTATTATTATTTTGTATTTTGCACATGTGCTTTCTTTATGCTAGGGCCTAAAGTAAATCTTACATTTTATTTTTTGATGCACCCTAATATATACACACACACACACACACACACACACAGTATAATAGTGTACATAGTACAAACCTGATTCCAAAAAAGTTGGGACACTGTACAAATTGTGAATAAAAACAGAATGCAATGTGGAGGTATCAAATTTCAAAATTTAATTCAGAATACAACATAGGTGACATATCAAATGTTTAAACTGAGAAAATGTATCATTTTAAGGGAAAAGTAAGTTGATTTAAAATTTCATGCCATCAACACATCTCAAAAAAGTTGGGACAAGGCCATGTTTACCACTGTGTGGCATCCCCTCTTTTTTTTAATAACAGTCGGCAAACGTCTGGGGACTGAGGAGACAAGTTGCTCAAGTTTAGGAATAGGAATGTTGTCCCATTCTTGTCTAATACAGGCTTCTAGTTGCTCAACTGTCTTAGGTCTTCTTTGTCACATCTTCTTTATGATGCGCCAAATGTTTCCTTTGGGTGAAAGATCTGGACTGCAGGCTGGCCATTTCAGTACCCGGATCCTTCTTCTACGCAGTTAATGCATAGATGTGTTTATCCAATCAAAGAATATCTTCCTAGAGTGGACAGGTTGGTATAAATATACCAGAGATTACAAAACAATGCTAATTTAATGTTGAGTTTTTTAGGAAGAAAACAAGACAACAAAGACTGGACCATTTTATTAGTTGTTTTTATCATTAAAAAAATTACATAATCTTATAAAGAGCATCAGCTGTTATTGTTACTGACAGCAATATGTCTTCAGTCAGTGTACAGTCAGTTAGTTGGTGAGTATAAATACAAAAGCTGCAGGTAAACATCAGATCTGAACCGCCCCTGAGGCAGAGGTTGATGAACAGACCTTCACAAACTACAGCTGATGGGAAACAGAAAAAGAGAAAGAGACAAAGAAAGAGAGAGGAGGAGCCAGTGTTGGCACCCAAGAACAAAAGGTCACGCAGAGCAAAACTGGACTGATGTCAGATCTTTATTACAAATTGCCTTCCGCTTGTAAAACCTCTACTTAAAAGACCAGCTTAGATGGCCTTGTTGAAACACTAGCAGCATCCAAATCACAACACATGCTGGTGTCCAGCAATGCTGTTTTTTCAGCCTCCATTGTGCCCAGATTTAATTCTGCGTGACCTTTAACCTCAGGAACCACATTTCTGCACAGCTGTCTCTGTAGATGCAGATGACCCAGCAGCACCCTCAGGCTCTGGAGCGGGCATTAATGCTGCGTCTGATGCATAGCGCTCCTTTTTACCTGGAAACACAAACATGTCAGACAAAATTAATGTGACATTTGAACACACCATCTGTACATTACACATCAGTACAATGTGGAATGAACACCGATTCACTCTAATGTACTTCTGTACTTTGCCTCACTTAAGACAGGCTACAGAGTAATAAAACACTGACATACACTTTCACCCTATGTATGTTCTTTATGTTTCTGGTTTTTCTGTGAGTGTGAGAGAGAGAGAGAGAGAGAGAGAGAGAGAGCGAGAGAGAGAGAGAGAGAGAGAGAGAGAGAGCGAGAGAGAGAGAGAGAGAGAGAGAGAGAGAGCGAGAGAGAGAGAGAGAGAGAGAGAGAGAGAGCGAGAGAGAGCGAGAGAGAGAGAGAGAGAGATAAGTGAGTATACCTCACCTTTAGCCAGACTACATGGTGTGAGCACAGGTTGTTCTGCTTGCTCTCCCTCTGTAAGGGCAGCGCGGATCTTGCGCACCACATAGACGCTGGCTGTAGGGAAATGTTACAAATCATACACAAAACGTGATACAAATACACAAAACAAAATTCCCTATACACTAGGTGATCCTATAAGGCACAATTCTTAAAAATAAAAAATAATGAGAAATTCTTTAATTAAAATATCATCATTATTTTTTTAATCTAAATGCAGTGTGGTGATATAGTACAGCGATCATATCAGATGGTAATACTTTAGTACTTTGAAATTGGAGAGAGAGAGAGAGAGAGAGAGAGAGAGAGAGCGAGAGAGATAAGTGAGTATACCTCACCTTTAGCCAGACTACATGGTGTGAGCACAGGTTGTTCTGCTTGCTCTCCCTCTGTAAGGGCAGCGCGGATCTTGCGCACCACATAGACGCTGGCTGTAGGGAAATGTTACAAATCATACACAAAACAAAATTCCCTATACACTAGGTGATCCTATAAGGCACAATTCTTAAAAATAAAAAATAATGAGAAATTCTTTAATTAAAATATCATCATTATTTTTTTAATCTAAATGCAGTGTGGTGATATAGTACAGCGATCATATCAGATGGTAATACTTTAGTACTTTGAAATTGACCATGGTAATAATGAATAATGATTTTTTTTACAGTCTATGATTTACACCATACTATATCAAAAAAGGTTATATCTTTTTGTTAATTAAAAATACACAGTTGACATAGCCTACACCTGAAATATAACATACATATATATATATATGTTATGCATTACTACAATGTTTAACCAACATTATTTTGTGCATACTGTATACATACATGTATACGAATTATAAGTTAAACAAGCCGTGATAAGACCGTACAGTATTTTTATATTTATTATATTATAGGTGTTTATCTCGTAAACAGAAACTGAAAGGTTCGAATCTTTTGTTCTAATGTTAAAGGCTTTAAAGGACTACGTCTTACCTTTTATCAGAAGTCATACCATGGTGTACAGATCGTTCAGTTTCTACTGTATCTGTTTCGTGCCTGGAAACACAAGCGTCTTTTACAGGCTATGAAAGGTATGTTGCTGTTCCGGAAGCGCACTGTCTCTTCCAGAAGTAGTTTCACCAGCTGCTGTTACGAAAATATGTTATGTATGGGTTAGTGTAGCATTTCTCATCAGTCTTACAACGTACTTATCATTGATTGGCCCCTTTGCCACTTATGATGAGTTGTTCACCAATCGCTATGAAACGCGCTGAGATGACATAACACAACTCCGGCCAATCAGGAAAACACAACATAAAAAATAGATCCCCTTTTGGTTATAATATTTATCTACTTTTATCTATATCAAACACTTCAAATAATATTTCATTCTTTTTTTTTTAAACTACATTGAGAGATAGTGAGATAAAAATGGTAAATTTCTGACAAGAATAATCAGTGTTCACGCTTCTGTCCATTAAGTGGCTTTCGTAAGACTAAGTTACGCAAACAGACACCAGTTTAAAGTTTATATCACTGATTTATTCCGTTTAGACTTTTTATAACCTTCATGGAGCAGTTCATGGGAAACATGTCAGGGCTTTCTCATTAATCATCCGGACTTAAGTGCTAAGAGACTCAATATCTACTTAATTAACTTGAAAGTTAATTAGCTGAGTAACGGAAGTTAATAAGAGTGCCAGTTCTTTCTACTAGACAAGACACAAACACAAAATAAATGTTACTAGATTTGTATTTAAAATTTGTTGAATCTGCAAGCAATACAAAAATATAGCGTACATTTTCATAAATATAATAGTAAAACATGCTCAAATGTTTTCAAAGTATATGTCTGAAATACTCAGCTGAATGAAATAGAAAAGGCAGTCTTTATTTCCATTATATACAACAAACATTATGTTGAGGCGGTAAACAGCTTGATTGAAAGCTTTTCCACATTAATACAGTACAAAAAAATCTTATGCTTCTTCCCATCATTAATGGCAAAGGAAGACATACTATCAACCATTTTCTTTTCTGTTTTCCAACTATAATAATACATGCTATAATTAAAGTGTCAACATGAAAGCTGCAACACGGAAACACTGATAGAAATTCTTTAAAGGTTAAGAATGTAAAAATATGTGCGCGCACACACACACACTTTCTAAACATTCTCCCAGGGTCCCCTATCTTTTAAGATCATGTCCGGGCTGTAAAATAGGATGTTGTTGTCCTCATCATCGGAATCGGAGTGTGTATCGAGGTCATGTGTGTATCTTACATTTGCAGCATGGTACTCTCCAATCATTGTGCTGTCACATAGCCGAGACTGGACAGCCATCTGAAGAAAGCATTACATGAACAAGAGATTGAAATCAAACAGAAAGCTAAGGTGACTAACCAAATGACCATTGGCTGAGACCAGTGAGCATGAACTGTACCTTTATTCCTGTTGTACTCAGCTGACTCCAGGTGTCCTTACCGAAGACAAGAGCATTTGCAAGCCCATGCAAGGGTGCACTGAGCACATGCAATAACGTCAGAGAAAACACAGGGCCCTCTGGGTAAGCAGCATTATGAAGTCTGCAGAAACACAAATACAGATCAGACACACATGCACAAGGATGCACCCAAAGGTATGAGGCATGTGAGCCAAAAAAGATGAAAAAAGAAAATGTTTTTCCCCATTCAATGACTATACCAACAACCAAATAAATAAATAACAATAATTTTATTTTATTATAAAATTATGAAAATTAAACCAATAAAGAAATATGTTATTATTGCAATAAGTATTTAATAATAATTCTATTTTATGGAACAACAGTAAAATTACAATAATAATATTTATAGTGGTCTTCATTTCTTAGCTTTCCATTGTTAAACTACAAAACATCTATTTTGGTGTAAAACTGCTGAGATACCTTGAAGCTCCTCTTATGTTGATTGATTTACTCTCTATTACAAATTTGGAAAGAAAAAAAAAATACTGAAAAATTACATCCCTGTAAGATGTGGTGAGAAAATGCACAGTTACCGATTTATGAGAGGGAAGATAGAGACGAGCAGATAGACAGAGGGATACCACTTCAACGGTCTGATCTCTTCAGCTAGAGAGATCTGCAGGAAGAAGTAATAATACACACATGTATGAACTAGTAGATGGCAGCATTGTTACATCTGCACATACACAAATAAATATACACACACAAACCTTCCTCCTCTCTCTTTCTGGGTTAAAGGTGCCTAACCAGGAACGCATCTGAAATAAATACAGCAATTTTAGACATGCATTTACACTCCTTATGCATGGATCATTATATTTTGTATGGCTGATCGGCGCTGCTCCGGCACAAATCCAATCATCTCTTTCGTGATATTTTAATGTACACTGCTTAGTGTACCACAGTAAGACCTGTGTAGAGTACACAGATGTCTGCACGTACATGAGCTGATTCATTGCGTCAGTGTGTGTCAGAATCTGCCAGACGTGCAAAATGTTCTGGAATGTGGAATGTCACTTTCAGCCATACAGTGGTAAGTCAGCATTAACAGAGAACAGGGAGGAGAGAAAGCTTTTTGTTTACAATGAATTTTCATTACACACCTAGGTTAGACAGCATGTTGCCATGAAATCAAATTTAGATAGTAGTGAGACCATTTTTCACAATCACATTCACTCACCCTCTCGTTGGCCACACAGATGATTCGAGCATAACAGCAGGTCATGAGGATAATCAGGCTAAACAGAGGAATGTACCATCTGCAAATAAAGAATACTTTACATCTCAAACAAGAAAATACACAAACAGAGGCCTCAAAAAGTATTTGGACACTTGATAGTGTTGACTTGATAGTGTGCCTGTACTATCCTTCTTTAAAATAAGGTTACACTTTATTTTAAGCTGACCTTGCTACAGTGTAATTATACATTTAAGTAATGAGTAATATTAGTTAACTACATGTACTTGGTTAACTATATGGTTAGGATTAGGGTTTGGTTTAGGGTTACTTGCATGTAATTATGCATAACTAATTGTAATTATTATAATAGTAAGTACATGTAACGTGTAACAAAGACACCTTAAAATAAAGTGTTACCTAAAATAAATACCTAGGGATGCAATAATATTAAAACAATTATTTTCATTTTAAAGCCACTAACTGATAAAAGGTCAATATTCTAATATATAATATAATGTATTAATCATTATCTTATATCGTATTTGTAATAATTAAAAATGATAGAGTATGAAAAAATGATTCATTTAACTCTGTTAATACGTTTTTAAAGATTACTTTGACGTGATTTTTGAATGACGGCAAAGAGAATCTAAATGTAAAAATACAATTAAATATTCAATATCGACTGATACTGATCAATTAAATATTGCCTGATTACCGATACAGTAAAGATATCTTGTGCATTCATTTAAATATTATACAGCATTCATGCATTTCAGGTGTCCAAATATACTTGTTGCCAGTGTGAACAATCCTTAACACAGCATAACTGGACATAATTAAAGGTGAAAAACATTGTTAAAAACTCCAGCATGCACAATAACCTGTCAGAATGGGAACAGAAATTCCTGAAATTCAAATAGCATGAGCTACGTGAGCCTCTGAAAAATGATGCAACTCATAACATAGTTTCATTCGTCCAACACAAATTCATTCCTAGCAACAACATGTATTTCCGCAAACACTCACACGCATGCTGAACAATACAAACTTACATGCCAAACCTCCACCCGACATGATTATCTGTGATCCAACTGCAGGAAAACAAGGAGACAGAAAGGACTGATGATGACTGTAGTGATATGATTGCAATTAAGAACATATCAAAAGTCAAAGGCCACTCACCACCAGGCTCCAGCGGGGCCGTAGTATCCAGCCATCAGGGGGAGGGTGGACATGAGCAGAGGAACCCCCCATGCCACCAAATGATACGGTCTGAGAAACACATGCAGATGTTAGGAACACTCTATCTGTATGTATACACAACTAAATGCATTTATTTGTGTGTGTGTGTGTGTGTAGTGACTCACATTTCATAAGGTTCAGTTCTGATTTCTCTCACCAGGTTCAGGTACAGATTAAATGTAATAAGACAAACCCACATCAGTGCGGTCCAGTCTGAAACAAACAACAAAAATTATAATAACTATTGCAACAGCAGTTTATTATGACACAGTGTCAATACAGAATGTCGTCTTTCTATTTTGAAGCACTAAAGTTACTTCCTTTCCACTTAAATGACTTTATTCAGAAATATCATCATAGTGCATGTGTTTTTTGTGTTGTGAATTTGATGTATTCAAATGTCTTCTGCTAGTTATATCAAAGCCAAAAATAAATCCTCTTTCTATCCCATCTCAGAACTGATTATCTGTTACTTTACATATACACAACAGTGCACATATGAACACACATCTTTAAATCAGTTGCCAAATTTACCAAAATATGTGAGCCACCAGGCTTGAAAATTACACAGAGACCCCTCTGCATGAGACTCTCCCTGTAGATGAGAAGAAAGCAACAGGTGCAAATCGTGCGATGAAATAAAGTTATTAAAAAGGGAAAAAAATATTTCCCTTTCTACAACATACATTAGCTTGATAATTACTCTCCAAACATGTCTCTCTATCACACAAAGGAATCAGTGCAACTCACCATAACATAAGCAACACTGTCAAAAGCTGCAGCTACTGTCAGATTGAATATCATTTTCTGAAGTACAAAGGAAAAAATACATACACATATGAAATACAGATAAAAAAAGTTCCAATATTACTCCAAATAATTCATAACAATCAGCAATATGACTGAATATGAAAATTACTGGTTAGAATAACAAATTACACTACTAGTTTGGGGTCTACAACATGTTTGCTAATATTATGTTCACCAAGGCAGCATTTATTTGATCGATAATACAGTAAGAACAGTAATGTAGTGAAATATTATTTCAATTGAAAATAACTGTTTTCTGTTTGAATATATTTTAAAATGTAATTTATTTATATTTCAGCAGCCATTACTCCACTTGTCAGTGTCACATGATCCTTCAGAAATCATTCTAATATCCTGATTATTTAAGAAACATTAGGAAACATTTATCATTATTGTCAATGTTGAGATGTTCTTTCTAATATTATTGCGACATTTTTTTCCAGAGTTCTTTGATTTAAACAAATGTTTAAAAAAATAGTTAGAAAATAAAAAAATAATGCATTTTATTGAATTTTGTTTGGGTTTGTGTGTAAAACAGTGTAGTCTGTTGTCACGTTTAATCAATTTAATTCATCCTTGCTGGATACAAGTATTAATTTCTTTTAAAAAACAAACAAACAAACATTTGAACCATAGCGCACACTGTACCTGAGCCAAAGAGTTATATCGGCGGAACAGCCATATTGCAAACAGCATGAAAAGGCTACACAAAAGGGAATTTTAATAAAGTTAAGAATGCTCAAAAGCCACTTTAAAACAAAGAAGCAACGTGCAATATGATTTGACTCACCATGCCACTAGTGAAAATGTCCCTGTGGCTCTTTTCACCTTAAGAATCACATCCTGTAGATTAAAACACACACATAAATCTAATAAAAAATCAAGAAAGAAAAGGACGCGCTGACTTTAATTCCAAGAAGACAATAACATTTAGTGCAATCGGCTTTTTTTGATAGCTTTTTTGAATGCCTTGGTTCTTTACATTTTTTTCCTAACAGTAGACAGATTTACACTTTCAGACACTCTCCGACTTTTCATCAAAGAAATGTAGGCAGCCAGGCGTTTTCCTGCTCCTCGTGTGTTGGGTCCCCTCACAGATCAATAAATGATTCATTTCTTACTGAACTTATCTCACCGTGACTCATCTTACGAATTTCCCACAACATTTTTTAAATGTTTAACTCAAATTAAGTTGTCATAAATCACTCTATACTATCGTACTTGCAAGTCTTTCTTTCAGTAAAAGTATTAGTGAACATCATCATGCCTGGAAAGCATGATGTCACGTTGTGATTAGCATGAAGGCTAACAAGTTAGCATTACATTAGTTTCTAAAACATGTTTATACTTACACATTGATAATCATCGGGCACTGCGTTGCAGAAAGTACCGCGGGAGCTGCTAGTGTTGTTACCCTGAAGTGGATGCTCATCTCCCATAATTATTCTTTCTTTTTATTAACTAAGAGTTTGATGTGGAGTGCACACATCATGAGAACAACACAGCCACATTGACACGTAAGGAGTGCGCAGAGGGACAAACAAGACAGCGAGACGAAACGCGGTGACGCCTCCGCTTCACAGAAACTCATTGCCAATACATTTGAGACAGGAAAAAATAAATTAAAAAAGGTTGGAGACAGAACGTTATTATCTCTACAGACTAAGCTGTTGTTTATACAGGGAGATCATAATAAAATAATATCGACACTGTATTTATTTCAATTTATATTGTTCTGAGATGAATGAGGAAACGTAACTTTAAATCGGATTTTATTTTAATTAAAATGAACGGATGAAACTGCTCAGCATTATATGATCAAGTATGTTTTGATGTGTTTACTGATTTTTTTTTTTTAATGTAGTGTTATGTTTTGCTTTTGTTTTCATAATATGGTAAGAAACATGAAGGCGAGGTGATTGAGATGCATTCAAAGAACATGGTGTGACAGTTCACGCCTTTTGTCAAAATGTTTATTTAGGTTTAGGTCCAAAAAAGAAGAATCTTTGCTATCCTAGAAGGCATTGTGCAACAATAATGTCTATTGGTTACATAAATATAAATATGAATATAAATATTATTTCGATTTTTCAAATGATTGTGTTTTGGAAATACATTTTAATCACTTTTATTCACACATCTAAATTTGGAGACTCCAATGGACTGGCATCTTTCACAGATTAGAACCCCACATTTTATGGTAAACTACCACAAAACCAACTTATCTTGTAGGCCTTTATGTTAAAGTAACTAAGTGTTTTAGTTTTTTCTCATGTCTGCTCACATGGGCACAAGTGTATTATTTATGGCCCCTTTGTATATTTTTATTCTAAAAAAAATAGGCCTTGTGTATAAAAGAAAAAAATATGTTTCATTGTCTCACTTAACATTGAATGCACATACTAAATAGGAAAATGGATTATAATGGATAAATGGGAATTGAATAGATTACAGAATATTAGATTAAATTTTATTAGAACGGATTATTATTGCATGCCATTATGTCTAATGTCTAATCCATCCGCAGTCTCAGAAATGAAAGTTATTTAAATTATGAACTTTTACTAAGGAATGAAGAGTATGTGTAAAACAGGCACTGCAGGGTGTGTGTAAACCTATTGATTATGCATTTTTTTTAGCATGATTACGAATAAACAACCACACATTAGATGTTTTTAAATTACAAAAGTTTATTTTGTAGTAAAAAAAAATAATTCAGTACAAAATGCAGCAAATGTTTTTTAACAATCATACTGGCCTTTAGGCACAATTTAACACAGAATCTCATGGAGCTCATCATGACACACACAGTGATTTTCAGAGCCATCCACATCATTGACTCACAGGATAATTCAGGGATAGTTTCAGGCCATTAGCAGGGAACATTCCCATTGATTTTCTGCAGGGTTTCTGCTTCATCAATAGGAGTTCTCACTATACAAACGATCAGTTCTTCAAGTCATCAGTCCTCTGGAACACACAGCAACTTCATAGGACAACAACCTTCCTCTCAAAAAATGAAAAAGAATGGAAAAAATAAAAGCTTTCAATTATACATAACACATAAATAGATTTAAATATCAAGATAAGGCATGGCAACCAGCCATTTGAACGGAGATTTTGTTCTTTTAAAAAAGGGAAAACTGCCAGTGCAAATAAAATGCCATAAGACAAGAAGCAGTCCTTACAATACATCAGTGATCAACACCAAAACCAATACTACAACAAACCCACTTTCTCCTATCGGTTTGCCTTACATTTGAACTTTTGACAGTTTAACTTCTGTTTGGTCAGTCCCTTTGGTAGGCTCTTCCACATAGGCAAAATAGATCATATTAGATCAGAATACTTCTTCATCTCCCAATAGATCATGATGCAGTTCATTGTCCCCAGCCAGCGATGCCAATCTCCTGCTTGTATCGGTTGGTCAGGTTGTTGGCTTGGCTTGTAAGTTGGGACAGCACTCCATGCAAGCCCCTCAGATGGTACTGCAGGAGCTGCTCCAGGTCGATGTCGCTCTCCGGCTCTGTGCGCACTGGCTCCGGCGCTGTCGTGTCTTTCTTGCGCCTCTGCTCCTCTGCGCGCATGACGCCCCACTCGACGTTGTTCCGGATGGACTTGAGCTGGCTGTAATAGCTGTACATGTCGGCCTCGGCATCCAGCAGATAGGTACCCGGGTCGTTGGTTAGCTTCTGCTGCTCTTTCTCTTGGTCCAGCGGCACATCTCTCAGCAGACTCGGGACCATGACCGTCTGATCCATGTTGTTGACGGCGCCGATGAAGCGGTTCATTGCCGTGAACAGCGCGTTCTTCTGGCTGAGGGGCTCGGACATCTGCATTTTGCTGGTTTATGAGGATTAATTCGAGAGTAGTATGTTCGTCTCTCGTGCTCTTAGTTGTTTCTGAAGGTCTGCATTCCTTACGTTTAATTTATACCAGACTGTTTTTGCTCCTGGGCGTCACCGAAACCTGTTGGTCCGGTCTGGGATGTCAGATCGGCCACAACCAGATTCCAACGCAAGACATAAACTTCCGCACGGCCCATAGACTCACAGGGAGCGGCACGAAAGTGCCTTGATCGATGGGTTGCATAATAATTTACATTACATAGAAAAAAAACTGAAAACATGTGAAAAGCACCACATACTACTTTGATTTTGAAATAATTTTCACACATGACGAAAAATAATAGCTACTGTTTATAGGCCTAGATGTGTTTTGGCTATGTAAATGAAGTGTAGGTCAAAGGCTAACAATATTAATAAGGGTTAAAATGGTAAATTATTTTGACTTGAGTAAATAACATTTGTTTCTTGTTAACAAAATCTAATCTTTAAATGCTTTGCTGATTAGTAACATTGAGGCCAAAAGTTACATGCTTGAGTTATGAATAGGCCTATTAATGTTTAGAGTCATTATCATGCCACATAAGCAAAATATGAATGAACCCAACAGGAAAGACAAATGAGATATGAGATTATATCTCAGTTGTTTCATGCAGGTGACAATGAGATCAAATAGGGAGAAAAATTAGACTTGTTTAACTCTTATGGCTTGTTACAGTTTTCTCCTGATGAAGACGAACATCTCAATGTTTGCTCAGATTTTCCAATATACTTAATCTGAAGTCTCAACATGAAAAGATTTCAGAATGAACTTTTCAAACATTTCTCATCTGATTTTCCTGACACTAAATGATATGAGCTATGCCAAAATCCACATACATTTTACATTTTTATGCTCTTTTTCTGTCAAAGATTGCTTCATATGTTTAAGAAGAAACATCTAAATGCTGATACATAAAATAATTGTAACAGGAACTTAACTGAGAACTCAATTAAGTCTCCTGTAAAAAAAGATAATTCCTCTTGAAAATCTGTGTATATATTTTTTTAAATCAGTGGTCCGAGGGCCAAACTTATGTGCAAATTGAAATAGTTGAAAAGTTGACTAGATGCGTATTTGTTCCTTAAAATGGGTTTTAGGGGCATGTTTCTCTCCTCTCTTTTATGGACTTATGTCTTTTGCTCAAATCTTTTAAAATGCTTATGTAAAATGCTCTGAAACTGTCCCTTCTGGCTTGTTGGATTAATCTGAATGCCCAGAGGGGCATTAACACAAGAGGACACTAAAGTATTCAGACGCAAATTTAGGACCCCGATTATCAATAACGTGATAGTTACAAAAAACACAATGTTTTATTTCTTATTTGTCTTTCTATCTTGCAGTCATGTCTGAAACCCAATTCAGTGTGTACAAAAATGAAAACACACACAGGCCTATCAAGTCCACATTTGAAGTGGGTCAAACAATGTTTAGATTAGATAAAATCACAGCAAGGTTTCAGTTTAAATAATTGTACATACCAAGTCAGGGAAGCTGAAACACCTTTGCAATGACGAGAATGTCTCGGATGATTAGAAACCTGTTCTTCTGCTCTGCCACTAATCTCCACCCTTGCAGGGTTTCTACAGACATGAACAAGTTAAATTTAAGACGTTTTAAGACCTTTTTGATACCACCTTATATGAAATTTAAGACCTAAACCTGTAATGGAAACACACAATTTACTACATACATATATGTAATATTTAATGTGTTTAAATTAAAAAGAAAACAAAATATCATTGCTGTAATAAATTATATTTATTACTACGATATACAGTGAACTTTTAATGTCAGCAGACAATATTCCATATAAAATATCCCTGCAAAATAACTGCATCACTGAGATTTTTGGTGGAGCAATTTATTCTGAAGCAATATTTTCATCAGTGTTCTATCAGCTTTTACATTCTTAAATCTGCATATTTTATTTACCTTTACATAGGCCTATTTTTAACCAAATTATTACAATTTATCAATAAATTCAATATAAACTATAGGGCTGCTACCAGTCAGACTAAATAATTTATGCAGCAAATAACAATAATTACAACCGCAATAAATAATGTTATGAGATTAATGTTTTAAATGCATTTATGAGTATATAAATAAGAAATGTTGAGGGCAAAATGCGTGCTTTCCAACATACTTCTCAACTAAAGACCAGTAAGTGGCGGTAAGTCACTTAATGAGTGAGTCATTGAGTCATTCATTCAACTGATTGAGTGTGTTATCATGCTGGTATCTTAAGGACTTTCGTGGACAGCTGACTCCTAACGTTTTTCATATTCTTCATATTCTGTGTGGTGGTCAGATAGAAATTAATCTTTTCCAATAAGTTTAAAAATCAACTTACCTTTATAAAGCCATTTTTTCTATAAGTGTGCATTATCGGCACCAGCTTGTATTCTGTAGTCTGCTAGCTTACTGCAATTCTCTCTGATGACACAGTAACTTACCGCTTCGGTCTGTCCAATGATTGTAAAGTCATTAAAGTTATTAGGCCCGTCAGACTGAAGATATTTTAGCGGTAATGTGACCAAAATATTTAAGACCCATCGAATCCGAATTTAAGACATTTTAAGGCCTTATATTAGGAAAACGTTATTTAAGACATTTTAAGACTTTTTAAGGACCCGCGGACACCCTGCCTTGTTCTAGGTTCTTCTCTGCCTCACCCTGAGAATCACTTGTTCTCTTTTACCACTTAAGTGTACGCATTGCAGAAGTGATTTCTTAGTACAATAACATCGTCTCTTTTTCTTGCAGTGTGCCTTCACCTAATTCAGTTGTTGATAGTTTCACTCACAGTCTAAAAACTTCCCAGCCTAATCATCCTTTGACTGTAATGTATGTCACTCTGATCTCACACTGATCTGATACTGCTTACAAGGCAGCAGTCAAGACAGTGAAAGGTCACAGTGAAACAAAAAAATTAAAGCATGCTGACGCCACATTCATGCTAAAACACATGCATATCTTATTATGAATGATCAGTAGCCTAGCCATAACATGAAAATACTAGTCATTAAAGTTATTAGGCCCGTCAGACTGAAGATATTTTAGCGGTAATGTGACCAAAATATTTAAGACCCATCGAATCCGAATTTAAGACATTTTAAGGCCTTATATTAGGAAAACGTTATTTAAGACATTTTAAGACTTTTTAAGGACCCGCGGACACCCTGCCTTGTTCTAGGTTCTTCTCTGCCTCACCCTGAGAATCACTTGTTCTCTTTTACCACTTAAGTGTACGCATTGCAGAAGTGATTTCTTAGTACAATAACATTGTCTCTTTTTCTTGCAGTGTGCCTTCACCTAATTCAGTTGTTGATAGTTTCACTCACAGTCTAAAAACTTCCCAGCCTAAACATCCTTTGACTGTAATGTATGTCACTCTGATCTCACACTGATCTGATACTGCTTACAAGGCAGCAGTCAAGACAGTGAAAGGTCACAGTGAAACTAAAAAATTAAAGCATGCTGACGCCACATTCATGCTAAAACACATCCATATCTTATTATGAATGATCAGTAGCCTAGCCATAACATGAAAATACCATAGTGGCTTTAAATGCATGCCCACACATAACCACCTATTTACTTTAAATCACGTTGCACTGCTGGACTCTATTTTTGCCCTGTAGAGTTAGACATGCAAGGGATGACCTAAAAGAGTGTATCTGTTATGTAAAATGTTTCTAAGCGATTTAAGGTGACATAGATGCCAAATCCCATAATTACAAAGAAACCTAAAGAGACACAATGAAAGTTTTATAGAGACTGAATATGAATTGTATTATTGTTTTTCGTTCAGAGCATTTTGCGACTCCTTTCTGTTGTAAAAAAAAGTTAATTGCAGTGTCAATCCAACCCCTTGTAATTTTAAGAAATCTGAATATATCAAATGTGATAACGCATACTAGTATTTCTCACAATGTCACAGCACCCTCTATAGGTCTTAAAGGTATTTGCGTCACTGAAATGAAATATTTTAATTTTGTAAAAAGTATTTTTCACACATTAAATAAAAGGATTTAATAATTTAAAACAATTGTGTATTTCTGCATTTCTTCTTTCTTTCTTAAACCCCCCCCCCCCTTGGCCAATAATGATAAATATTATAATTTACAATTACAGATGACAGACAGATGACTGTATTCTGTTTTTAATGTCTTTTTCCCACATATTTTTTTAAAATTTGAGTTTGGGAATTTGTGGCGTATAGTCTGTCAGGATGCACACCATCAAACCCTGGAAAAAAACATACAGAAACTATTACTTTTATACATAAATGCATTAACAATACTCACATTTTTACATATACAATTTACCATAATGGTCCACTTGCGGTTCTCAGCCTCTGTGAACACAAGGGAACGTGGTGAGTAGAAAACTTCATCGTCTACTTCCTCTGCTTTACGTGGGAGACAGTGCAGAAATGTCCAGTCTGGTGCAGCCACACTTCCTGTCTGTCAACCAATCAACAGAAACATAAAAACTACCATAATGGAATTAAAAGTATGTCTATCTACAAAACTAAAGGCTAGATTAGACCAGATGAAGTTGATGGACATTTCTCTACCTGCATGGTAATCTGGTAACCAAGGAAATCTTTTAGTCTCTTCTTCTTCTCCTCCTCTTGGCCCATGCTCACCCAAGTGTCAGTAACCAGCACACTACTGTCCCGTGCTGTCTCCATTGGATCCATCAGGAATTGCAACTTGGTACCAAACTACAGCATGAATATCACAATTAGGTAAACATACTGTAATTGGATACTGTAAATGAGCTAGGTATCATTAAAAAACATCAAACAATATCAAGATTGATTGTGTTTTTGAAGATAATTATTAAAGACAAATAATCATTTCACATACACAGTCAAATGCATGGTAAATAAAGCAAACATTATAAAAAGATGCTTAATTATACTGTAGATCTTACGAGTAAAGCTGATCATGACTTCTCAGTCTATACCTGCTTAGACAGAAGCTGAGCCTCTTGAGTGACGTTAGCATCTGGCTCATAACCCTAAAGACAAAAGGTTAATCAAAAGTATTATTTAAAAAATTTTTTGGAATGGTTCTATATGCATGTATAAAACAGATCTGAAGAAGGTGGACCTTGGGTGTGGCCACTTTTAGATTGACACCTAGTTTAGCCAATGACATCATAAAGGAGTGAAGAACATTGTTTCCATCACCTATCCAAGCCAAAGTGAGGCCTTTTAATGAGCCGTAGTGCTCCTGTAAGAGTGAAAAAGAACATGTGAGTGCATGTACTTGAGTGAATGTGTGTGTATGTATCAGTGAGTGAGTACCTGTAGTGTCAATAGGTCAGCCAGAACCTGTATAGGGTGGTAGAGGTCAGATAGGCCATTGATGATTGGTATAGAAGCATCTATATCCAGGTGCTCCAGAGATGAGTGACTATACACGCGAGCTAACACAACATCTGCCAAACCAGAGAGCACCCTGCCATACAAACACACCCACATATCAGACCATCTTAAGGCCTCTGCGAATTGTGTCTACATAGTGTTTACAATGTGTGTGAATTCAGACCTGGCCGTGTCTGTGGTGCTCTCATTGACTCCTAGATGAATATCCTGGGGTGTGAGAAAACATGGATGGCCACCCAACAGAGAAAACCCTAAGAGAGAAAGAGAGATAGAGAGAGAGAGAAACTGTCTATGTGTTAAATCTTTTGTTCTGTACCCGTCCCTATTCATTCATTTTGTTCAGAGACCGCACTAATAAATTTAAGCCCTTTCACAGGCTCAAACTTTGAATGGCACCTGTTTCAGTGGACATGCGGGTCCTAGTGCTCCTCTTCTCAAATATCATGGCAATAGATTTGCCTTGAAGTAATGGGACATACTGTACATAAAAAGATGAATAAATGAACATTGTTTAAAATATCAGTCCTGAGAATGGGAATATTATTGATCAGTAACTTCAATAGTTGCAGTATGTTTTGCAGTACCTCGCCCCTGTGTTTTATTCGATGTTTAAGGTCAGCAGAAACCCACAGGATATGTTTAATTTCCTCTGCATTAAAATCCTTCAGTGTTAGAAAGCTGTGACCCTTCAGGTTAACACTGTCCAGAGCTGCTTTTCCCACTCTGTAGACATAAAATACACATGATACTGTTGGAAAATTACTTGAGCATAAAAAACCCCCCTCAAATACCCTTTATAAAAAATAGTCAATAAAATAACATTTTAAACAACATTTTTAAATTCATATAAAAGCAGATTTTATGACTTCATAAATTAAAGGAATGGTGTATTTATATATTCAAAAATATTTTCCAAGCACAAAGATTATTTCAAATGGTTAAAAAGAAATGAGTCTAAAGAATACATGTTATGTTAAAAAGGCCATGTTATTAGCCAAATACTCTTTTATTAATTAAAATGTATCCATGAAGTCTTTTTTCTTCAATTTTTAATGCTTAACTGATCAGCTTGTAACTTTCATTACATCCATGACTATTTAATTAATCCATTCTCTGTTAAGCATAATGCAATGTAATAATTAATATTATCAATGAAAATTATCATACAATGTCACTCAAAATTTTAGACAGCAGCAAAATCTCCGACTCACCTAAAATTCCTGCTTTGGCAACATTTAGCAAATTTCAGACTAAAATATATTCTGTTTTTGAAAGCAAACATTTTACTGACATAAGTAGGCCTGTGCATACAGAGCTGAAAGTGGCACAGCCAAATCAAATCATTTCCACGCGCTCCCTGCCAGCATTGGGGGCGTGGCTAACGGGACGAAAAGGGGGCGGGACAAGTAACTGTGCGTGATGAGTGACAGCTCTCGTGCACTTAGTCTTTTATCCCAGCCGCTTCCACAGTCCCTGCCATCGTGTGAAACCCAGTGATGAAGCTGGTATGTGTGCAGTACACAAGCCACGGTTAAGCCAGCTGACTCCACTGTCCTGTGACCCCCCCCCCCCCCTCTCTCTCTCTCTCTCCCTACACCTTCGTTAAAATATTCCATTAATATAATATGTTTATTTTCTTCATTAATCAAAGAACTGTAAAATTACAACAAAGAGCAAACCCTGATTAGGGTTTTCCTTCTTTTTTCGGTTGCCAGGGTAACGTTTACTTCCGGTTCAGCTGTAACTCTTCAGCAGGGAACGGCTGACAGTTCAGGAATGTCATCTGCAGAACAGAGGTGTAGGAGGTGATGACAGGAGAAACAGACACAGAAATACCAGGTAAACTGCGCCTTTATAGTGATAGAGATCTATCTATCTATCTATCTATCTATCTATCTATCTATCTATCTATCTATCTATCTATC